TACAAAATGAAAGTCTGTATTTTTTGCCACAAACTCTACCTTCCTCCATTTTCATATCATTTTCCCAGGCTCCCCAGGCTCTAAAACTTGGAATTACTCTTGCTATAGCCTCAAATGCTTGCGTCCTATGTCCAAGCACTTTCTTGGCCATTTTTAGGAGTGTTGCATTGCCACAACAGTCACTGTTATTCCTCTGGTCCACGAGTTCGTGTCTTAATGCCTGCATTTCCTCACCACCTCAACTGCCCTTCTCAAAGTGCCCTCACCCTCCAAAACATCTGATTTATTGCTGCTGGGCTAGTACTTTTTCATCTGTCAATTTCACTGATCACATTCCACTCAAGAACATTCAGCAGCTCCCTACTTCCTGCTGGATCAAATCCGTATTCCTGGTCTGTATGAATGAAGCCCCTACTTACTGTACCAGGTCATTGGTGTCTAGGAAACATAGCTCCAATGTAGAGTTGAAGAGCCACTTTTATATTCCTAGTGCTGTCATTTCTTCCTTATGAGACTTGGAACAAGTTATTTAAATCCCTTAAGCTTCAGTGGACTCACTTGGAAAATGAGATTAATAAAATCTATCTTGCTTGACTCAATACAATGCCCAACACTGTGGTTTCGCACATCTCAATGATATTTTTGGTCCTTTGTCACCTTAGTTCCCATACTGGAATGTCCATCCCCTACCCTCCATGTCTCAAAACTCCTAACAAGGTATTGGCAAAGTGACAACCATAGTGCAAGACCTACTTGGGACCATGGGGCCTTCCTAGCAAACCTCAAATGGCACCTTTTCTTGTATCTGTTTTTAAGTAGTAGAAATTCCTTTACTGAAAAATGATTTCCTGTAAAAATTAGTCCTTAATCACAAGCCCATTTCTCAAAATTCTCATGGGCAGAGTAAATGTCGATGATTCCTAAATTTCATATATGAAGTCAACAGTCTTGGTTGAGTGCCTGTTAAACATCAGACACTAAGAAGCCGTGCTGCAGAGACTAGTACTCTTTACGGAAAACACCAAGTCTGACCAAGTGTACAGAAAAGGGGTCAAGTATGACAACAGGGAAACTAAAGCCTGCTCAGGGAGCAGACAGAAGTGGCCCAATTCAGGTCACTGGAGAAGGCAAGTCTGCCTAGAAGAAAAGCTCTTTAAACTAAAATGTGACTTAGGAGGAGGAATAAGCTTGATGGAAGTGGGTGGGCGAAAGACTTCATGACATGGAGACAAAGAATTTTCTGAGCAGATTAAGAGCATATGCAAGGCGTAGGGAGAGCCAGCACATGTGGTAATGAATTAAAACAAGTTCCATCGCTGAAGCTTGGGTTGGGGTGGCAAGTGTGGGAAAGTAGGAAAGGTACTGGCTAAGGAGACACCCATGAGTTAGGAAATAAATTTGTACTTTATACTAAGGGCAAAAGATAACAAGAATGCAGATTTTAAAACCAGATTTTTAAACAGCCTGGATTTGGGGGGTCTGTTAAACTTACATATGGCTTTGTAGGACTTGGCATGCAATCTTCTGTGCTCTCTTGCATTCTAAGCACATAAAATGTGGTGTGAAAAATAGCACAAGAGTCCCTGGACCTGACTTTCCTCCAAGAAAGTCTGGGCAGCACAGTTTGCAGTCACAATGTGTGGTAGAAGAAAGCACACAATGCAAAGATAACAGCAGCTAACCCAGGAGACAGGAGAGGACAGTATGGCTCCTCCAGCAGTATCAGGGAGCGACAGGGACCAGAAAAGGGACCCGTTGGGGCCACATTAAAATTTCTTTGGAGAATTAGCCTAGGAATCATCTCCACAGGTGTTCTCTCAGAGCCCTATTAAAGGTAGAAAATAGGAGGGTCTTAAACTATGTCATTTATCCCGGTCTCTAGATGGAATTGGTTGACATGTTACAATAACCATTGGTTTACAGTCAAAAGGATCTCAGTGTGAATCTGTTTTCTTCTATTTATGACACGTGCAATTTTTTTCAATTTTTTACAAAGTCATAATTTTAATTCACTCTATAATCACAGGCTTAATTCACCACTAACCATAATATTCAAACAAGTAAAAAAGAGGAAGACCACAGTTCTACAGGAGGATATAAACAAGGGCTAAAAACAACAATCATATCACAAGATGCCTATTTCATTCCTGTACACTTTTGTATTCTATATTAACTGCCTCGTATCATAGAAAACATGAGACTGGCTTATTTAGGGTGATTATTGAATATCTCTAATTTTCAATGTTCTCAACTTTTAAAAATCATGACAATTATTACCTCTGAGAATGCTTTAAGGGAGTGAAAAAAATCCCGTATGAAAGAAATCTACAGTATCCCACGGCACATAGTAGACCTTTGGTAAGCACTGGCTCTTACTGAAATGCTGGTGACTCTGCTATCTCTCAGCAGCACACTACATAAGAAGGTATGAATGACAAGACAAGTCTGGCCATTTGCAGGAAGAATATAGAAGGCAGAACAGGAATTCTACTAATTAGGGTTGGATGCCTCAGGAGCAACATTTCTGGATATGAATTCAAGTAGCCAAAAGAAAGTAAATGTTCGTAACTTGACAGCATGGCCTGGCTCTTGTTTCACAGTTGATATTCACAGCGATAGCAGGAAAATGACTGCTAATTAAGTTTTAATTGAGCACTTTTTTCCCTACAACAAATGTAAGATTAAGATGTCAAGGTATGTATGCTCAGGTATGTGTGTGTGTGAGCATGCATATGTATGTGCATATGGCAGAGAGAGAACTCCTCTCTGGATGAGTCTTTCTGTTAGACTATTAACTTTAGTCTTGTATTTCCCTGGCCAGATAGCAGCAAGCCTGTTGTCCATTCAATGCTGGTTGTCTAACTGTATTCAAGAACGTGGTTTGCTAGCTGGATGTTGATTTCTGAGTTTGCATAAAAGCAAGTCCGGACAAGGGTGCCTGAGTGTGCCTGAGGATACGTCCTTTCCCCCTCTCCAGTCTAGTCTCAGTCGATGCTGCTACTCCCTGTGGAAGCATAAGGTTCCTAACAGCAAAAATAGTAAAAGCATAACACCTAAAGGTAACTCTCAGCTCCTCTACAGGACACAAACACCAAATGAGCCGGTGGAGACCAATGAGCCAAATCTGCAGGCGTGTATCCTTTCGAGAGGCTGGATTCTGGGAAGACCAGACAGCACGCAGAACATATTTGCAGAATGACTTGATTGAGAAGGCAAAGGCCCGGCTGGTAGCCGAGTCTTATTATTTCCCACAGACGCTCCATGCTCCATCAGTACCCAATCTATCCAACAGCCTCTTTAAATTCCCCAAGCACTACTAAAAGGTAAATCTATAAGTCCACTCATTTCCTAAAGGATGCAAATGACTACCATGTGCTATAGCTGCCCAAATTCAAGGGTCTACAATAATTGGGGAAAAGGGGGACGTTTATATTAACCTTAATGCTTCCTCAGAAGCAGCTGTATTTGGGGGGGAAAACTCCCTTACTATAGAAGGTAAGCCCACAGCTCCTCCCACCCCTTGTTGTTAAATTGGGTATAACTGTTCCATGTTACACAAGATGAAGATGAATCCATGAGAGAAGGAGAAGATACGAGAGAGAAATGAGGTGGTGAACAGCTACACACACTGCAAGGTGCCTCATTGTTGTGAGAGCAGTGAAGTTATTAAAACTCAACAAATGCTTGAGGAAATGTATTTCACCCCATGCAACAATTCCAGTGGCTTTTCATGGGGTGAAAACTTAACTGATAAACTTGGGAACTTGGAATAACAGACAAGCCCAAAAGAGTGCACTTAATCCAGAAAACTGGATTTGGATTTGGGTTCAATTTAGCCAGATCTTCAAAGGTACCTAGAGGCATATGTTTGATTAGCGGCCAGGGAATATAAGGTCATCAACTAAAAATTTGACTCACAAACAATATGCACATTTTACTTCATATAAATATCCACATAGAAATGTGAGTATTACTCCACATTTATAAAGTTCTACAGCTCTGTTGCCTAAGTGGAGAGCATGCACAGGTCATGCAAACAAATGATGTCATTTAGAAAGACTTTTTCTAGCATGGGAAATTCCTGAGTACTTTTCTCTAATTAATTAAAGAATATTCATTACTGATCTTCACTATACCACAAGGAGACTCAAGCTGCCCTAAGGTCAGCAATCCACTCCACTGGGGCAGTGTGGAGAGGTCCTGCTTAGAAAGCACATACTCTTTCAATATTCAGTAATAAAAGCATTTTCAAAATACTTTCAGCCATTCAAGATCAGCACAGTTTCTTAAAGTAACCTTATTTCAAGCCTTTTTCGGGAGTAAACTAGCCTGTGAAGCAGAACACGATAGTGTATTGCCTATTGTAGGATAAATCAGGCAACATCTTGTCAAATGCTGTCCAGGCATCAGTTGTTAAATGCCACCATGGAACAAGAGGCGACAGTTGCCAACACAAAACTGGACTCAGGTCAGTGATTTCACATCAGTTCCCACAATGAAGGTCAGAGGAGAAGACAGGGAAGAAGACAGCAAAGGAAGAGAAATGGAAATAGCTTCTCCAAACTGAATCAGTTTCTACCCTTAATAGTTCCTAAAGCTAAGTCCCATTTTAGTAGACTCCAACAGTTAATATTAAGTGATGTCCACGAAAATCTAAAAACAACTAAGACCTTTCATGGAATAACATTAGAAGAACCAGAAGCCTCCTTTAGCAAGGATGTACATTGGGGGACACACACACACTCTCACACTCACATACACACTCACACACTTCCTCCCCAAAGGGTCATCCAGTGGAATGATCTTCTCCTTGGTGAAATAAAATAGACTAACCTACATGTCTACCAGATCAGACACAGTTCCTATAACTTATTTACCTATTTGCTCTGTTTCAAGTTCCAGGAATCAAAATTTGCTTTCCCACAGAGATCACCTGATGCATGACCTTTAATGCACTTTTGTTAAAGAGGCTGGCAGCAGGAGAAAGAAGGTGGACTCACCATTTGATTGCTGTACCAGTACAGTGACGATCCCTTCAGCACCACCCAGAACTTTTTCCATTTGTTGCTTAAGAAAGTTCCCTTTTCCTTTTTCTTGTACAGCCACCCTTGGCAGTCAGCATGTCCCAGATCTTTGCATGATATCCTCCTCCGACTCATCGTGAAAAAACCTGCAACAATTACATGAAGAGGAACAGAAAGTACTACCCTGGTTCATGTGACACCGTAGAAAGACAACTTTTAATTGCTTAGCTCCTAGGGGTTGAAATTTTCATCAAGATTTATGCAAAGTAAATGCAGAACAAAAAAAGGCATGCATCTTTTATTTTTATTCATCTGATGCCTAGAAGGTCTAAGACATGGCCAAAGAAACACTGAGACTAATATTGCAAGTATTAGTCTAAGAACACTATTCACCAAGAATAAGTTGAAAAAAATAAAAGCATGAGGCTGACAGGCACATTATTGCAGCCACAGAGCTCCTTTCAAAGATAATAGCAGTAGTTATGCAATAGATGTTGAAGGGTTAATGCCCACCTCAAAACACAGCTACTTCCCGACTGAGTGCCAGTGTCTCCAAGCTCTATTGACATACCACGAGGGACTAATCCAAATGAACGGCATGTCGTCATTTCTTAAAATCCATCCAAAAATAACCGAAAATTAATCTGCCGTCCACCTCCTGATACCAGCATTCAGACAGACAAAAATCTGATCCCCAAGAAGGTACGGAGGAGAAAATCCACACTCACTCGCACACACAGAAAGGGGATAAAGAAACAAAAGAGATCTAATTACCTTGAGTTTTCTTCCTCGGCTTCTGACGCAAGGGAACCTGCTGAAAAAGCAGGAAGGAAAGAAAAGAGGAAATTTCTGATTGTGTTGTAACATTTGTAAAGAGAGGAGGAGGGAGGAGGTGGCAGTGTTTATGAGCAGGGTGGAATCTAAAAAAAACTCTCCAAGCAGAGCTAAAGGAGAGCTACTAGCTGAGGCACAAAATGTGCTAATTAGAATCAATGTACATTGAGCTGAACCTGAAAAAAAATCTAACAGAGCATTTATCACTAATGTTTCCTGTTTCCACCCACAGTGCTCTCACTACTTCTTTAGTTATGATGGCAGGTTGTTCACTCGAGTTTTTAAAAATCATAAAGTATTTCCCCTTTGATATTTTTGTTAAAGGAAAAATATAACATGCTTCTTTTCATGTAATTTCTAAATAACAATGATTAAAGTTGGAAGATAATTGCCACAATCTCAAAATATTACAGATTGACTCGGACTATTAAGTTCAAGATCCAGCTACACATAAGGACATAGGGTTACCACACGAACTAAATACCCTCCCCCTCAAAAGTTCCCAATTTCTCTTGGTGAGATCTCAGTCCCACTCAACCCTCCTTATCAAGAAATTCTTACATTTTAAAAGATTTTATTTATTCATTTGAGAGGTAGAGTTACAGAGAGAGGGAGAGACAGAGAGAAGAGAGAGACAGAAAGAAAGGTTCTCCATCCGCTGGTTCACTAAATCAGGCATTCGACAACATATCTATAATGCACATTGTTTATAGTACAATTTAAACAACTCATGTAAAGTCAGACTAGGAAACAATGAAAAACAGTACTTTTCAAGTGATTCTATGTGCATGTGTCTCTTTATGTGTGTGTAGAGACAGAGAATTGTAGCTTAAAGAAGTTTTGATTTTCTTCCAGAATATCTAAACAGAGTTTATTTAGGTATTTTTTTTTTAGATTTAAAAGCAAGTTTATTACAGTCAGAGTCCTCCAGTCAGAGTGGCATTGGGGTGGTGGGCTCCAAGAGAGGCAAAACTCAAAGGCACTGTGGTAGTGGAGTTTTTAAGCACAGTTTTGAGGAAGAAGAAAAAAAAAAAAAAAACAGCTTGACATCCAAGCAGGGACCAAACCCATCAAAATACCTCCTTTACAATCTTATTTGCCCTGTCTGGTTTGTTCATAAAACAAAAAAGCCATCCAGAAGGGTGAGATAGATAACTGGCTTTCAGGATCAACTATGAGTTCAGGAGGACAAAATCACCACTCCCTTGCTATTCTCATTGTAAAATTGGGAATTCCTAAGGAATGGGGGCAGGCACTTTTGAACTTACTAAAGGTAACTTTTAGAGAAAGCAAAAATTTTGCACCCTAATTTCCACCAGGACTACCCCGACTACCCATTAACCCGTCTGACTCCTCACATTCCCTCCCCCGGAGGAAGGGACCCTAACTTCTGTTAGGGGAACTGGGCAATGACTGTTCTGGCTGTTTCATGCTGAAAAGGGGTCGAGTCAAGACAGGGTTCCAGCTGGAGGCGTCTTCTCCAGAGGGACGCGGTGCCAGCTTGCAGAGACCACTTCCATCCAAGGTCTCATGCACACAGCCATCTAGAATTTCATTGTTTCAAGTCTGGAGAAAATGAATCTAACAAGCAAATTAAACTCAGAGTCTAAAACAAAGCACAGAGTCATTATTAGAGGACTAAGAAAGGAGCTGTCTAAACCAAGAGGAAGTTTTTCCATTGAGAGACAAATGGAAACTGACAGAAGAGGGCCTGATAATAATCAGGTGGGCTTTAAGGCCTGGCCAGATCTGAGGCCCAGACCTATTTATCTCTTAAGATGGGCTACCAGACAAGGGAGGTATGAACCTTCCTAGGGAAGACACCCTGTTGACTTCATTACCCAGCTGCCCTAGGAGGAGAGCTGGCCTGAAGAGAAAGCAGGTGGCATCTCTAAAGGGAAATTTACAGTTCTGCCTGCAATGTTGCTGACCCTACTTGGCCGTCCCCTCAGCAGTAGTGGTTACTTTGGAAGCTGGGCTGAGTGAAGGGCATTTTCAGCTTAGAGCCAGCAGGGTCTGTGTCTCTGACCTGGAAGTCCTTGAACCCCAGGGCAGTTCCCTTTTCCAGTGACCCAGCTCTTGGCTGTCTGAGTGGCCAGGGCTCTTCATAAGCTGACTTTTGCTGAAGCCCTGGCTTTCGACGTCAAACACCAATGCCATTTGTGGTGGACTGGCCTGTTGGGTCTCCTTGATAGCAGATTACTGTGTAAAGCAGCCATGAATTGGCCTGCCACCTATTTTTACATTGCTCATGCTGCCTAACTTGCTCCTTTTCCTCCTGGTTTCTGGTAAAGGAGACCACGGAGACAGCCTTTAATGTCAACCAAGGGGATGCTCTGTCCCATCCCTAAACTTTGGTAGCCTGAGCTAGAAATCGATAGTCACAGGCATGTTCCGATAGTAGTTTTTTCTAAGAGGTAGACAAAGCCCACGAGGAAAGCTGTGTCCTCACTTTAGCATCAAACATGAAGAACCAGCTTATCTATAAATTTTGAGGTCATTAGTAAAATGTTTTCTTCCTTTGTTTGGTTTGAAAAGGGAGATTTTGAGGCATAGCAGTAAAGGCACCACCTACAGTGCTGGCATCCTGTATGGGCACTGGTTCATGTCCAGGCTGCTCCACTTCTGATCCAGCTCCCTGCTAATGCCCTGGGAAAGCAGCAGAAGGCTGCCAAAGTGCTTGGGCTCCTGCACCTGTGTGGGAGACCCAGAAGAAGCTCCTGGCTCCCGCTTCGGATCAGCCCTGATCAGGTCATTGAGGCAATTTGGGGAGTGAACCAGTGGATGAAAGACCTCTATCCATCTCTCCTCTCTCTAACTCTGTCTTTCAAATAAATAAATAATTCTTTAAAAAAAAAAAGAAGAAGAAAGAAGAGGGAGGTTTTGCCTGTTTTCTGTGTCCATGGCAAAGTAAATCTGACTGTGAAATCTAATTTAAGCGCTCATTTTGGCTATGTAATTTGGTCTTCTATGTGGCCAAGCTAATATTACAGAAAAATGTTAGCCATCCCTTTTATGAGGTCTAAAGTTCAAACTGTACATCCCAATGGAGAGTCTTTCAGAACTCAATCAGTTTCCCATCTTGAATAGAGAAATGAAGGAAAAGTCAGCCTTCCCCAATCACTTACTGTCAATAATTAATATCAAATGAAAACTTAGCAAGCTTTAACAGCTAAATAATAACTTATGGAAACATTTACCAGAAGGCCCAATGCCTTCTAAAAATTTCAAGACAACAGTACATGTATTTGGAAACATCGCTAAAATATCTAACACAAGTATAACTTGTTTGACCAGCAAACCCAAGTACAAAGATGTCAATGATGTAAACATTTTTAACTTCTTTCTACGAACAAATTTAAAACATCTGATACAGAGATTCATTTAGGTCACATGAACCAAAAATCTATCTTCAATTAATTTAGCAGATAAATTTATGAGCAATATTTTATCTAAAATCCAATAAAAACAGAGCTCACAATAAATTTTCCCATGTAGACAAAAGTATTAGGTTTAAATCCATTGTTATCAAGTAGAGAGGTTTTTTTAAGTATACAATTGTAAAGTAACTCTAAACTTTGTTATATAATCTCATGGCATCTTTCAATGTTATTAGAGATGCATTTGGGTAGTATTCTACATATCTAGCTATTCATCTATATATTCTACTATATGTTTTAGGAGGGTATGTGGCATGTATATAGTAGAAATAGGATAGGACTTTAAAATCCAGAGCTCCAGAATTAATTCAGAGCTGTGACATTGAGCAGCTGTGTTACCCAAGGAAAAGTCACCCTCTGAACCCACTTCATCATTTATCAAATCACAATATTTGTAAGAATTTCAACCCTGTATGTCTGAAAACAAAACAAAAAAACCTTCATATAATCACTATCCATATAAAGGCCTCATAATATTTTTTTTTTGGATAAGTATGACGTGTGCTTCCTTTGGCAATGATGATGAAGTTAAAGAACTTACTTCCTGGGGAAATATGTATACCTTGGGGAATCCTGCAATAACTTTTTTAATTTAATGAATGTTAGGATAAAACCTTATTCCTGAGGAAATTAACCACCTGTGAGGAAAACAGGACACAGCAAAAGTAATAAATGCCCTAGGCTTCAAGCAAAGGTGGACAGGTGACAATCATGACACGTAGCTAGAACCTGAGCATACTATCACAGAAAGAACCTAGCCTCAGAAGCCGGCGCCGCGGCTCACTAGGCTAATCCTCCACCTAGTGGCGCCGGCACACCGGGTTCTAGTCCTGGTCGGGGCGCCAGATTCTGTCCCGGTTGCCCCTCTTCCAGGCCAGCTCTCTGCTGTGGCCAGGGAGTGCAGTGGAGGATGGCCCAAGTCCTTGGGCCCTGCACCCCATGGGAGACCAGGACAAGCACCTGGCTCCTGCCATCGGATCAGCGCAGTGCGCCAGCCACAGCGGCCATTGGAGGGTGAACCAACGGCAAAGGAAGACCTTTCTCTCTGTCTCTCTCTCTCTCTCACTGCCCACTCTACCTGTCAAAAAAAAAAAAAAACCTAGCCTCAGGTCCACTTCACAAGTATCCACAAGTATCTCCCATGCTGCTCGCTTCTTTGAACTTCCCACCAGTCCCTCAAATGGTCTGTCCCACCTTTTGTGACATGCAAATTAGAGCAGCAAACCCGGTTAGTGCATAGTGAAAAAACATATTGCCCAGATATGTATTCCATTTGGGCAGGGAAACTTAGCTGAGAGCCAGGCCTGGAGGCAAAGAGGAGGCTGTGTCAATTCAGATGGTGTTCAGATTAGGAAACCCCAAGAAAAGGTAAGACCCAGGGACTAGGAAGAAAGGGAGGCTATAGACTATCATTGTGAGAGGTCTCAGGCACCAGTGAGAAGATGAATAGTTCAAACCAGGGAGAGGAAATCCTGAGAGGACAGCTGTGGGACCTGCAGAGGGTTGTGGGAGATGCCACTCATTTCATTGCTGCTGGCTG